TATGTAATATTATTCATCGTAATTAATCATTTTACATATATCATAATATATCACTTTATTGTTTTTGATAGTTATCTCGAGATCGTAATAATGACAATATATTGCGGTAATACAGTATTACATTTTTCATATAACGCAAAATGATAACTCCGCAAGTTATATGTTACACTATATCAAGACAAAAAAAATGTAGAGAACTGTTATTGCTTTTTCTTAATTAAACTTTATGATACGCAAGAGTAAAGATAACGCAATATATAAAAGACGCGATTGCAAGTAGATTTGTGTCTGAGAAGCATAAAACTTATATATATATATATATAATTATATATTAGCTTGTATAATATTTAAAATTTTGCGATGTACTTTTACGACCACGTATATATTAAAGAAATAATATCGTTTTTTGTAATTTTAGTTTATATAAAAATCATTTTTAACGTATATACACATTCGATACATCGAAATATCTTGATTAAGTAAAAATGATTTACGAGATAGAGTTTTGGCAAAACACAAAGGAGAAAAACGTTTTATTTTGTTACATATAGACATTTTATCGAAAAGAATATGTCGTCCATACAAACAAAACGATAAAAAGAAGAATTAATATGTCAATATTAAATAATATAATTGGTTAATGTTGTGTGATTGTGTGTAACGTGAACAATGCAACAGTGATGATATATAAAAAACGTACAAACTACAACTGTACATGTCATCACAGAAGATATAGCAAGCTTCATTGTAAAAACAAACTACAAAAAAATCAATAAAGCATAAATTCTTATATGGGCTCTACACGTGCATTTTAACATCGAAAATGAACATAAAAACTAGTAGAAAATGAACAAAACTAGTAGAATACCGAATGTAGTGTGAACCTTAGCACAAGTAAAAAAAGGATGGACTAAACTCTAAAGTATGCAACGCCTACGATATGTTAGTTAAATTGAAATCTCAACATATATTGTGTGTGTGTGTGGATGTATAGTGCATATATATATATATATATATATATATATATATATATATATATATATATATATATATATATATATATATATATATATATATATATATATTCTGATTCCCCTTCAATAAAATCCATAGGTCTACGATTTGATTCAGCTAAAATCCTGATAAAAAAAAACTAAAGCTATAGGTGAAATCATAATTATATATGCATATATATATATATGCACTATTGCGTATAATTACATAATCGATATTATGTAGTTTCTCCTCATTCTGTGAAATGCTTGAATTTATTTATTATTCGATTCTTTCGTTAATGAGTTTATTATGAGTTTTACGCGCTTTGTTACACACATTATATACATTTAGATACAGATTACATGCCTCGCAACACATAAATAATACAACACGAATGTAATTGGATGTTTTGTGAGATTCCTTTAAGATTTCAATATGATATAAATTTCAATAAAAGATGAATAAACGAGGCATTTTGTCTTTTGTCCACTTATTTGATTGCTTCATGTTTGCTCCAATGTTCTAACTAGTCAAACAAAAATAATTCAAAATACTGTCCGCGAACATATTGCGCGCTGCTTTGTTCTACGACAGAAAGACTTGTTGTGTTGTCCATACACAAAAGCATCTGCGTGCAGTGTACAAGCAAACACACAAACACACACTGTATTTGCAAATAAACAAAAAACCAAATTGTGAATAAAATATTGCGCAGCACGTTATATTATATGTTGTGTTACAGCTAATCTGTATCTAGCTTAAGAAAAATATATCTAATAATGATTTATACTCGTTGAAAATTTAATTAAATAATTTAGGCAATACGAGCAATTATACGGGTTCTTCGTGTATCAATTTCTTTATTCTTCGAAATATATTTTCAATCAAACGTTTCGATCTATTTTTTTTAGATCTTCATCGGTGATTTTTATTAATGCAGGATTAGGAATCAAAGCCGTTGTTGTTCATATCAATTGTGGTGTGGTTGTCCTTACTCAGTGACTCAACTCATACCAGCTACCGAAAGATTGCAGTAACATTGCAGAAATCTTACAGCGAAACATTGTAATATTGCGTGATAGTTGCGAAATATTTCTGCAATGTTACCGCAAGCTTACGGCAACGTTGAAATGTCCGCCTTCAAAAATATTATAATGTAAGACTACAGTAATGTTACAAAGCAATGTATTTGTAATATTGAAAGGCACAAATACGCAAAATGTTTACAATTTAATAGATAAAACTTTAACAATATATAAAGACGTCGAAGAGAGATGAGAACAAACTCGTTGCTATAAATTGGTTGCTATAAGTTCATAATCTTGTTGCACTCGAAACTCACAATCAGATATCTGATCCGAATATAAAAAGATTATGAATTGACGCAAGGACATGACGTTTGTTTTCATGTCTTGAATCTTTATGTTATTGAACTTTATATATTTTCAAAGTTTACGTATTAAAATTTGAAGTATCTTGCATGTTAAAAAAATATGAACAAATCATTGGTTTTATATAAAAATTAGTAAACAATTTTCTTTTGTCCAGTTAATATCGCTATTTTATTTTATTATATATATTGCATTTTACTTTTTATATAATAACAACAGCTTTCTTTCTTTAAATTTTAATTTATTTTTATGTTTGTTTTAAAGATGAATAGATAAAAGAAAGAGAAGTTGACAAGTATAGATTACAATCGAGATATAAAAACGCGTCGAACTTGATAAAAAAATAAAAGTCACTATTGTCTCGGGTTATTTTTTTTTTTTTTTTTTGATATACATTTTGATATTTATACAATTCGCAAATATACATAATACAATATGTATTTATACATATATGTGTATATATATATATATATGTTCGTTAATAGCTATTCAAAATATTTCTGATAATATACTAGAATTAAACATACTATAATGAAACATTGCTAAAACATTTCGGCGAAACATTGTTATCATATGTCTCTAAAACATCTTTGCAATATTACATTGCAACTTGCAATGTTGCAACGTTTCTGAAATATTACTGAAAGCTTCGGTGCTGTATGGGAAGTAACAACATAGTATTAAACAGTTGTTACTTGAGTCACTGAGTAAGGACAACCACACCAATTATGAACAACAACGGCTGATTTGATTCTTAATCCTGCATTTTTTAATGAGAATCATTGATGAAGATCTAAAAAAAATAGATCAAAACGTTTGATTGAAAATATATTTTGAAGAATAAAGAAATTGATACACGAAGAACCTGTATATATAATTGCTCGTATCGCCTAAATTATTTAATTAAAACTATATCTGTCTTTAGATGAAAAATATTCGTCATTAATCGTAAGAGAGCTGTTGAAGAAAATATTCAATTATGTAATAAATAGTTTAATTCCAAAATATAAAGAAGCATTTAACACATTTAAAAAAAATCGTACTACCAATGTTCTCATTATGCAGTAATATGTATTTTTTTATAAAGATAAAAATATAAATTCAAGCTTTTACGAAGTGTTTTTATTTCTATGTCAACTTGTATGTAACTTTTACATGTATTTTCCAAATAGTTACACAGATCAACTATATATACAGAGTGTCCGACAATTACTTCAACATCTTATGTAGAAAAAGTAAAGCTGAGTCGAAAAGTCCTATCCTAGATGGCACATTGGTTCAGAAAAAGTTCGAAAAAAGTCAATAAAAAGAGTTACTTATAAACTCATTGAAAAAAATTCTATGGTATTTAAATTCAGCTAATTTTCCTTCGTGTAAAGTGATTCAAAAAGCTGAACTGCTTAGGAAAACTCTTCGGTAATTCGTGTAGCCAAATGACTATCGATCTTAGACATAAACATTTTACATAAACGCTTTGTTTTTAAAATGTATTATATCAACAAAGAACGAATTGGTGTAACATCTCTCGTGAACAAATAGAAGGAGTAAAATTGAGTCAAAAAGTTTTATACCATTTTGCTAGATTCGCAATAGTTACCGAGATCTTAATTAACAAAGATCAGCGAATAAGCACGCATCGGGCTGTCTTACACGCTTAAGACAGCCCAGTGCGCTTCGCGTGCTTACGGTGTTACCCGTAGCAGCATATATGGGAGGAGCTAATATAACAGAGCATATACTATAACATATACATATTAAAATGTAATTGTGCGAAACGCGCCGGGCTGTCCTACGCGCGTAAGACAGCCCGATGCACGTTTATTCGCGGATCTTTGTTAATTAATATCTCGGTAACTATTGCGAATCTAGCAAAATGTTATAGAACTTATCGACTCAGTTTTACTTCTTCTACCTGTCTACAAGAGATGTTACACCACTTCTAAGACACCCTGTATATATGTTTGTCAATAGCTATTCAGATATAATCACTATACGCCGTGAGGAACATTGTCAAAGCGTTCGGTACTGTAAGAAAAAGCCAGGAACAAAGCAAGAACACTCTGATTACTTCGGAAATAACAATTAAATATCTTTTTATTATAAACAAGATTAATTAAGCAAGAACAGAATTGAATAATAATAAGAGTTTCAAAAAACAGTGTGGTATCGCAAGCAACGTGAACTTCCGACGAACACCCTTAGGAAAAAGAACTACTGGCGGTAATATATTGCGGCAATGGTACGAAAAAATTACTGGCAACATTCTGTGTAATTGCCAGTAATATTTTCAGTGATTCCTGTAATACCTAATAATATTCTTATGTGTGTGATTGTCAGTAATATTTATATTACTGACTTTTTATTTATATGTAATCGGCAGTAGTTCTTTCTCGTAAGGAGACTTCTTCAAAAATCCACCACCTTTTAAATAGACAAACGAACAACACTCGTTCGAGTTATTAAAAACGAAATTGACACGTCATAACCAGTACTTTCATATCCTGACTGGAACAAACCCTTTGTCCTTACTACAAACGCATCTAACGAAACAATCGGAGCAATTCTTAGAAAGAAGACAAAATGTCTTAGAACATATTATATATTGTCAAAGTTTATCTAGTAAATTTGAAGCATTTTGCTTATTTGTGCAATGCATTTCAATATTACAAATACATTGCGTTTCAATATTACAAATACATTGCACTGTAACATTACTGTAATCTTACATTGTAATATTTTTGAAGGCGGGCATTTCAGTGTTGCCGTAAGCTTGAAGTAACATTGCAGAAATATTTTGCAATTACTTCCCAATGTTACAATATTTTAATGTAAGGTTTATGCAATGTTTCTGCATTCTTTCAATGCTGTATGGGTTACAAAGTTATAGAATACGTCCAACAGTCTCAATTACAAAAATATTATTTTTTTCTTGTATTAATTTCAACGTTTATTAAAGAGAAAAAATAATTATATTATATCGAATCGAAGTCTAAACGTGCACCCATTCGTTTTAGAGCTAAAATAGTGTTAACGGCTTTAACCCAACGTTTCTTAATGACGTAACGTTTTAATCGATGCTTCTGAATTGGATTTTCCAAAGCAGCTTCCAGCCAACGATGTTCTAAAAGTTTTCCCGCAGATGGTCTATTCCTATAGTAAGAAAACTAATCAATCTTTTCTTAGTTCGCTATTTTTATCCTAGATAAAATCTGTATTTTTGCAACAAACAAATCTTTGTATATATTCCAAGAATGTTAATTTGTAAAAAATTGTATTAAAGGGTATAATAAAAATTCTTTTTACAATAGTAATATTAAATATAAAACACTAATAAATTTATTTGACAAAAGATATGTGTGTCATATATATGTACATATTAAATTATTAGTATATGGAAAAGCAAATTAAATTTTGTAAGTGTTCTAATTGAAAAATTTCTATATATATATATATATATATGGAGATATATAAAAATATCAATTTGAGGGTGTGCTGATGGTACACGATAACATTCTATTTTATTTAAACTATTTTATTTAAAGATTAATTTAGATGTTTACTTATTTGAATAAAAATTAAGAGATTAGGTTTTCTAATATTCTAATTCGTTATCTATATGTATATATTTTTTATATATTTATATGTAACTTGTATAATAAATTAAAATAAATTAATGGTAAAGGAAGTTTTTTTAAGAGTAAATATTTACTTTTCAAAATAAATTATTTGTAGAAGTTTTAAATGTGTTACTATTTTTTTTTATGTACAAGCGGCGCTACTGTAATATATTTTAATTTTTAATATTCTTTTTGTAAAAAGTATAATTTAAAAAAAGTACAAGAAATGTAAGAATTGTTGTTTACAGAAAAAGCAATTTTATGATATTTCCCACACAGCACAAAACGTTTCAATAACATTGTAATAACGTTGCAAACTCGCAGATTGCAATTTTGCAGAGACATTGAAAAATTATGAAATTGCAAACTTCTAATAGTAATATTGTAGCAACGTTGCGGAAGCATTGCAAAAATATTGCAGCAATATTAAAATCTGGTATGTGTTGTTGTTGTATTTTTATGTAATGTTCATTATATTATTAGTTTTTTTCATGTATACCTTTAAATATATTTAAAACAGAGATATTACACTTCACAGAAATATATATATATATATATATATATATATATCGGAAGTACAATAATAGTTGAAAATATTATCCATCTATCAAAACTATATTACTATAAGATGTATGTTTTCTTTTAGCAGTGACACATTCTATAGTATAAATTCTATAAGTATAAAAAATATAATATTATACATTCAATTTTATATTTACCGAAGTTTTTATTATTGCGATTTACTCTTGTATAAAAAAATCTCACACTCAGTGAGCAGTGTTAGTTTTTCAATATTTGTGATGTTTTTAAACACAATTGATTTCACCATACATTGCTTTGAAGATTAGTAAATTCTTCACTTATCAATTGAATAAACTCGTGAGACAATGTAACTAGATTCTTCAGGCAAATGCAAGCACAAGAGATGTTTGTATATTTCATTCTTTATTGAAAACCAAAAAATTACAAGTACATTATAATTTTTACCTAAAAATTTTTATTGTAAAAATTATAATGTTATTAATAATTTTGATGTGTGTAACGCTTCAACAATTTAAAAAATATTTAACAGAACGATGGCTCTTAGAAGCAGACACAGATGTAGAGGTGCAAATTTTGACTTTGTTTATTATAAAAGTAAAAAAAGTAGAACGTTTTCCACAGGTCGAAAACTTTTTACTTTTATAATAAACAAAGTCAAAATTTGCACCTCTACATCCGTGTCTGCTTCTAAGAGCCATCGTTCTGTTAAATATTTTATAATGTTATTGTAATTGTAAGTTTTTAGTTTTCAATAAAAAATATTAAACCGCACAAACATCCTGTGTTTTGTTCGCATCTACACAAATATCCAGTTTTGCTTTATATACTTATGTGTGTGTAATATTGTTGCAAATAAATTACATCGCAATATTGCTGTGATGTTGCACTGCGAGATCTCTGTGAGGGTGAACGTTTCAACGTCGCAACAATATTACACAACGTTGCTACAACATTGCGATCTTACAATGCAATATGTCTCTGCAATGTTTCCGCAATCTGCGTCGGTGCTGTATGGGTTCAGCGTAATAAAAAAATTTTCAAGTTTGCAAGGTTAATTCTTATCGATCCTTTTTTTTTAATTCTGCTTTTTTTCTATAGTGGTTTGCGTGTTTGTGACCGATCGACGATTTTTTGCATTTTGCATTTGAAAAATTCAAGCATTGTAACAATATATAAACGACGCGATTTTAACGATACATATATGACGTAACAACGGACGACGCGATCGAAAGTTTGCTTCCTACTGTTTCGATTGGAAGTATTCCGCCAACGAGTTCATCGTCTTCCTGGCGACCGTGTCGGATTGGCTGCACCAATCCAGACTCACAGACTTTCTTCCGGCACTATCGCGGGACGACGGGGTGACTTCCTCCCATTCGCCCAGCAAATGTAACAACAAGTCCTTAGCACTTCCCGGCTCGTCGAGGTTCAGATTTTTGTGCAGATTCCGCAGATTCGATATACGCGGCACATCTCTGCTGGTCTCGCCAAAAGACCGTTTCACTCGCGACCGCCGCCACGGTGGCGTCAAGTCCATTTTCTTGTCCTCCTTTTCTTTAAGAAGAGATGACGGCTGAATGGTTTTTTTCTTCATCCTCTCGTCGAAATTAAACTCCTCCCTCATTTCATCGGCGATCGTTTGTTCAAGGGAATACTTGCGGCCCCTCTCGGATGTCTCGCTGTCGCTGATGCTGGTTCGCCTCAGAGCTACAAACAGGTTTTCGGGATTTACGTCGACATTATATCGATCAAAACTTCGGCTACTGTGAAAGGTCGTCCCATTCAACTTTCGTTGCCGGGTCATACGCGACAATTTTTCCGTGATCTCATTGGTCTCTTGATTGCTGCGAGTCACGGTCACTGTTACGTTATTCTTCGAGTACGTACCGCGATTGTTCCCAACGTCGCCCGGTCTCTTGATGGAACGTTGTAACGACGTTTCTGTTGCGTTCATCTCAGTATCTTCCTCAGTCGATCGCAGAGCAATCGTGCGCAAATGTTCGGACAGTCTGATAATCTCTTCGGCCAGAGCGATTTGACTAGCGGGATCGCGACGGTTCTGTGTTGTACCCTCGGAGGCTCTTCTCTCCCAGGACAAGCTGATACTTGGCACGGATAATAGGTGACCGGAACTCTCGACTCTGTCCATCATCTTCTCCGATTGCGTGCTGCCGCTACAAAGACTGTCGCAAGGAGAAGGACTTTGAGCTCGCAAGGACACCTCGTCATGATCGTGAAGCGAATTTTTCGGCAAAGTCTGATACGAATCGATCGTATACGGACTGTCCGGATGTTCCCGCCAACGTTCGACGAACAATCTGAGATTATCTTTCGCTACGTCCAGTTCCTCCTTGCTGTTATCGATATCTACGACAGGACGATTTTCGATTAGGGCTGTTCGTTCGGTTGCTGCGAGTTCCGCGACTTCCTTCTCACTTCTGACAGTCTTGTTCGTCTTCCGTATCAGCCATGGGTGCTCCCGACATTGCGACGCCGTCATTCGCTTTCTGAAATATTCGAAAGATTCACTCGTCGAGAAGGATCGTGCTCTCTATAATGCTCTCACAGCTCAATAATGCGTTTTCTGTATCCATATCGTGCGTAGAGATACGTAAAGGTTTGTTTCTGTGTTCTCGAGATAATAAGAATTTAAAAGATTATACACAAAAGAGCGTGTGTGCCAAAACATCATACGTGTATGCGTTACATGCGTCTTTTTCCGTATATACAAACAATTTAATGAGAAATTAATCGACAACGGTATACAGATGCCGTGCTCCCGCACTTCTTGTCTCGCTCGACGTTCAGACGTTTTCAAGGCAATAATGTCAAAATTAAATTATTGTGTGTTTTGTATGTTTAATAAGGCAGGGCACCGATAGCACAGATTTTTTTTGCGCAGATCAACGGTTGCACAGATCCCGTTTGCACAGAAAACTTTTCTACAGATCCCGATTACACATAGTCGTTATTATTACATTTGCGAAGTAAATATTTCGTTTATATCACACACTATAGTACATANGTGGGCGGGGNANGGGCTCCGCCCCTCCCCCTGCACCCCCTCCCCCCGAAAACTCTAACCTAAACTAACCTATAATATGTCTATGCAATCGGGATCTGTACAAAAGTTTTCTGTGCAAACGGGAATCTAGGCAAACGGGATCTGTGCAACCGTCAATCTGTACTAAAGAAATCTTGGCTATCGGGATCCTCCCGTTTAATAATACAGAATTATTTCTTCTGCAACCTGTGCCGGATTGATTTGTCAATCTAGATTGTTTTAAAATTAAAACAATAATTGAAAGAAAGTGCAGAAATAAGCGCAAATTGTGCATGTGTGTAAACCATACGCACACCCTCTCAATAAGTAGAAAAGGATACTTAACGGTATTCAAGAGAAATATAACAAAAAAATTGTTACAAAAACGGGATAAAAAATATATATATGGGGCATTCTTTGTCAAATCGGTCGCTCCCTCTGTCCACAAATTGGAGCAACCGAAAAATTTGTTTTTAAGCTTTAAATTTTAGGTATATATATGTATACCCAGATAGCCAACTGAGTGCAAAGTTGTTGGCAACTTGCCACAAATATTGCTCATATGTTTTCAGCAATGTAACAAAAGGGTGTATCTTCTTTTCGGTATGTTCTTGCCAGCAACAGTTTTCAAAATATAATAACAGCAAGTTCTCGACAACTCATCGGCAATAAACTTATATTATTTTTCTCAACTTGTGAATAAAAATTATTGCTTATATATTGCTCACATATTGCTGACTCATATGTCCTAAACATTGGCTACAATAATTGATTGATAAATAAAACTCAGCATATTGATACTGAATTGACAAAAACATTTTCGTTGCGTTAAATAAAAAACAACACGACAGCAATTGGCCAGCAACTTAATCTATACAATGATTTGCTTTATATTGAGTTTTCACATTCGGCTATCTGGGTAGTTTTATTTCCATCGTGGTTTTTTGAAAAATCAAAAATAGCGGAAAAATTAATTCAAAATAGCGACCGAAGTCTGCGAAAAACGATTTAAGAATGGTGGAAATAAAACTACATATATATATGCCTAAAATTTAAGCTCAAAAAAACAAATTTTTCGGTTGCTCCAATTTTTGGCCGATTTGACAAAGAATGTCATATATATAACGAGAAAAAAAAAATTTAACATAAAGAAGAGGGAAAGAGAGAATTTCTGTGTTATGTGAAAAGGATGTACAGACGGCGTCATTAATTCGAAGAATAGGCGCGGGGATCGGAGGGCAAGCGGGGCGGTTGCTCGTAGCGCCAACGGGCGCCGTACTAACTAACTAGTAGCAATCCGGGTGTCCACAACTGGACACCCGATTTTGGGACTAATGGATATTTGGATCAACTGGACTTTTTATGTGATTCCCGCGCCTATTCTTCGAATTAATGACGCCGTCTGTACGTGTACATACAAAACTGTACTTACTCTTTGTCCTTTACCAATAGGCATCTAATAAAATCCTTCGCGTCGTCGGAAATGTCGGCGAAAGCTTCGTGATCAAAATCGTACTTTGCAATAGTTACATTAGCCATCGTTTCGATATCCGTATCGCCCATAAACGGTGACAAACCGGACAATCTATATAAATGATATGTACGTGTAAAATTGTGCGCACGCGATTCTTGACGTTGTTTTTTGTTTTAGAATATATAGAGCCACACTTACAAGACGTAACAAATTACACCTATGCTCCACAAATCGGTACCAAAACCAATCTGATCGAAGTTCACGACTTCCGGGGCAACAAATTCGGGTGTACCAAATAAAACTTGGAGCTTCTTGTTCGGATCGTATTCCCTCGCTAGACCGAAATCTATGATTTTGATTCTGTTACCTTCTTTCGTTAGACACAGAATATTCTCAGGCTGTATGCGTGTAACAAAATATATATGTGAATTTGTTCAATAAATTAATATAATAAAAACTTTAGAGAGAGATGTAAAACGAGATCAAAAAACAATTTGACCGACTCACTTTTAGGTCAAGATGTAAGATATCTTGACCGTGCATGAATTCTATTCCTTCGCATATCTGTCGCATAAATACGGCGCAGCTACGTTCCGTCAGTACAAAATCATCGTCTATCACTCTCTCAAAGAGCTCGCCGCCGTCGATCCTTAAATGATGGAAATATTAAGATAATCTTGCAGCGCGAGATTTTTTCTAATCGCGTATAATGTCTCCTTATGTGTGCTTGCCAATTGCGCGCGCGCGCGCGAGAAACGTACAATTCTAGAATAACATATATGTGTTTTCCTGCGTCTATAGCGTCGTAAAGCTGAATCAATCGTGGATGCTGTAAGCGCCGCATGATTTCGACTTCTCTCTGCACAGTTCGTCTGTCTTCTTTCTTCGAGATGTTCACCACTTTTGCCGCGAGCATCAAACCGCTCACTTTTTCCCTGCATCGATAAACAATGCCAAATTTTCCCCTAAAACGGATAGAAAAACCGGGATCAATTTAAAAACAAAAAAAATGTAGAAATGTTCATTTACTCCATGCCGCTCGATGTTATTCTGAGTTTAACAATTTATTAAATTAAATAAACAATGTTTATAAAGAAAGAGAGAGAGAGAAAAAGTTTTAGTGAACTGTATAATACGTTAAAATTATTAAGTAAATTACGGTATTTTAAATTATATTTTTAATTACCATATAAATATCTTAATTACGATATTTTTTTAATTACTATATAAAAATACAAAAGATTTTTTGCCATTTATTAAAATGTTAACAACCTTGTGTACGTTATATAAAATTGAAGCGCGATCTTTGAAAGACGCAGAGAATTCTTGAGTAACAAGAAGCTGCGCGTAAAATTGATAAAAACCGAAAGCTCTGCCAAAGCTGTATATTGGCGTCCCTGGCTAATAATGCTGCCGAGGTACAACATAGTTGTCACAAAGCCAAGTGAATCATTCAGTTAGCAAAGATATCTACAGGTAGTTAATATATACATACATACATATATATATATATATATAAAATAGTTATTATACGTATAGTTATAATATATAAATTAAAGTTAGTGATTTTTTTAACAAGTTTAAAGTTTTTCTCAATTTTTCGGAAAACGTTTTTTCTCATTTTTTCTCATTATTATAAAACTTTTGATGTCGGAAGCATTTTAATACTATCACTTATTTGACATTTGACTATCACTATTTATTTTAATTATTTTCGTAATCTGTTGTTTTTTTTATATATTTTTTATATTTTTTATATATATTTTTACATAAAAATTTGATCAAAATAATGGTATAAACAATTTCATTGAACAATTTTTCATTGATAAACCTTTTGATACACTGACGAGTTCACTGGCGTTCAAGAACGTTGGTGAGCACGAACAGAACATCGTGGGGAATGTCGATTTGACGTTCGTACGTTACTTGCGTACAAAGTCGGGAGTGATACAGATTATTTATAGACATATCGAGGCCTTGATTGTTTGAGAAAATAGAGACACACATGTGTTTATCAACAGCGTGCATGTTTCTTGATTTTATCAGTTTCGCGCTGTATTCCGCATTTTGTGCACTTATATGTGAATGCATCGAATGCTGAAAATTAGTGAGAATTAACAAACAGTCCGCTATTTCGGTTGTTATCATTATATGTATATATGCAGCATCATTATATATATGGACCGTTTATTTTGAAAGTGGTGTAAGTCCATTTTTGAAAAAAAATGAAATATCACGTAATTCATGCTTAATTTAATGTAAATTTTATACATATAATGATAACAACCAAAATAGCGAATTGTTTGTTAATTCAGCAGTCGATGCATTCACTATACACATGCAGTTAAATCTGAATTTTTAAGGATAAAAGTATCGCGAATAAAATTAAAAAAATTAAACAGAAATAAAAACAAAAACATTTTCTTGAAATTAATATAACTTTTGCAAATTAAAAAACTTCCAGAAAGTTCTTCGACAACGCGTCTGTCATAATCATATCGAGATTAATTGGAGGCAATTACACGTGTCGATCGACACGTTATTGGCACGATGCTTCAATTCGGCGTCTATATGCGGTCGCTGATCGACAGATTTAATCACTCACCGTCCCAACTCTGCCTGGATGTCATAATCGTCTTTGAACTCGACATCTCGACGGATCGTCACGTCTCTATAAGGGAAGCTGGGTTCAATCTCTGTGAAAACATCAAAATGCAATTGTCAATATATATAGGAGTATCAGAATTCACGAACATCTGTAAAGCGTAGCGGATCATCGAATTAAAACATTTTTCTTTATTTCAACGCTCAAAAATACCATCCAACTTTGAATTGTTTCGTTTATTTTCTATAGTATTACATTTTTTTAAATTTATTTTCAATTTTTGGAAAAATATATCAAATATATATGTACATATATATTTTTTCTTTCTATTACTGATCTGTTTATCTTTAAAGTTCGTATATTATAAAATGCAAGATGTAATTTATATTTTTCCTATTTCCAACGCTTTTGTTATTTTATTACTTTGATTATTGCATATTTGTTTTATGTGCTCTAAAACCTGAAAACAACTTATTAGAGAAAACAGACCACGAATAGAAGACAAAGATTTGAAGGTGTGAAGCAATCTGCTTAAAATTTAAGAAAATCGACATGGATTGAAGAAAGAAAAAATTTCATCATCACATACACGCGTGTTCACACTGCGTCTTACTTTTGCGATTATCATTCTTTCTTATATTATTTCTAACGCGACTGATGAAAACTCAACTTGGAGCATGAAACGTTTCGCACCATTTCATCCCGGTAAAAAATTTTTCATATATAAACTTATACACAAATTAAAATAATTATATCTAATTATGCAAATTTATATGTGTGTGTGTGTGTGCCGAATATGTCCATACAATTTTATACACGGAGAATTTCTTTTTTCAAGAGAATGGCTTCAGAGATATTAAATATCAAATTACAAAATAACTCTATTAGTATCATGTTAGATACAAAAAAATTATATAAAACTATATTTTTACTATATTTTTAAAAAAGTTTTGATATATAATCATATATACTTATACACAAATTAAAATTATTATTTAATAATCAATGTTTAAAATTAACGGCCATACAGAGCCAGTGCAGGATGTTGTGCAATAATTAAAAATTTTTTAATTTATTTAATTATTGCACAACATCCTGCACTGGCTCTGTATGGCCGTTAATTTTAAACATTGATTATTAAATTTTGTTGAGAGCCTGAGGTGATTCCTCAATACTTCTATGTAAAATTATTATATCTAATTATGCAAATTTATATGTGCCGAATATGTCCATACAATTTTATACATGGAAAATTTTTTACCGAGATGTACGCACTTTTCTTATGAGAATACATATATTATATAACTGATTTTCTTCTTTCTTCCATTTTTGGCTCGAGATTAAGACATATTATTATTTATATTGTTTGAAAAAAAACCTTTCACATCGATCTCCTCTTCGACTTTATTTACTTCGATGTAAGATACAAGGAAGTGAAGTTATTTCGATTTCTAAATTTCGGCGCCATAAATAGCCGAAAATAGCCTCTACATTTTATTACAGGCAATTGAGGGCGTGTATAATCCATGTAAAAACGTATTATACGCGTGCGTAATTAAATTCGAATACTGAGCTATCGAGAAAATTTTGATTTTATATTCGTGACGGATACTTAAAAAACGTAATACTTATCTGCGGTAACAGACTGTGCGATGAAACAAGCGCTTTTTCACGCGCGCACCAAAATGTGTTTACAAATTTTTTATATTATTTCACTTTACTAAATAATTATTTCTTGCACTATTTTATTCAAACGCATTGCGCTACAACAAACGTCCCCATTCCATTCTTCGATATGCTTCTAATTTTTTTGATCAAAATTCTTCATGATCTCTTTTTTTCGATGAGAATCTTTTTCTTGTCTTACCTCCCACTGGATCCGATTCGTCCACGCGGATCATGTTCCTCGAGCGATTTTACAAATCGCCGCCACCGCTACCTCCGCCCCGCCGTTCTTTCAAAAAACTTTTCAACAACTAGAAACAACAGAAATGCGCGATGTATTTTGTAATTTTATGGGAGAGAAAAAAATTGAGGATTGACGCGCCGACGCCGCACTCACGCGCAATTTCTCGTTGAATCTGTCGTGAGCTACGAGCAATTATAGACTATCTCGACACACGGATGTGTTTTGGTGACCGAGACGATGCTGCCTGCTATATTTCTTCTTCTTCTTCTTCTTCTTCTTCATCTCCGGCTCGGACGGATTTAGATTTTCGGCGGACGCGCCGCGGATTCTGCCGCTCGATCACGTGATCGGTAATCTCAACAAATCCGAGGCGGAAGTAAAATAGCTACGCTGTTACACCTCTCGTCTCTCCTTTTTTTGCTCGTTTTCTTTTCTTTCTTTCTCTGTTTCTTGCACGCATCCTTTTTTTTTTATGTTTCTACTCTTATCTTTTTTTCCCTTTTTATGAATAAGATATATGTATATAGAAATGATAAACGATTGACATCCCAACCCTAATAAGCACATTTGTGAAAATATTGCACAAAAATGGCATCACGAATGGCGACGATTTTGCAACGATTGCACTAAGATGATTCGCCGTAACGCAACAGTTTTGTCGAAATAAAATTTTGTCAATAATATTTGTCAAAAATTGCGAAAAAGTCGTTACGCATTTTCACAGTATATATCTCCAATAGGCAAATTGTGAAAAATAATTGCACAAATATGACATCGTGAGTGACAACAATTTCTTGCATTTCTTCATACGCAATCATATTTCTACATATTTGAAACATCACATAGCTGAATTTCTTTTCTCAATTATTGGACAATTTCTTTGTGAAATTAATTTTGCAAATATACCGCTAAGATGATTCGCCATATCGTTATTCTTTTGCCGAAATAGTATTAGGTCTACCGGAAAGTTCTGTCCGTTTTTGGAATAAAACAAAATACAAATTTTTCTTACCGTCAATAAACTTTATTAAATAATATAATTGCCATTATTATTAATGATTTCTTGCCAGCGTGAGGGCAATTTGTATATCCCATTTTTGAAAAATTAAGAAAAATTTGTATTTTGTTTTATTCCAAAAACGGACAGAACTTTCCGGTAGATCTAATATTTTGGAAAGTAATTTTGCAAACAACTACAAATATTTCAGAAAAGATCAATGTTTTTGGATCTATTTTCTAAAATATGTCTGTATAATTGCAAATTACAATTTTAGTGCAAGATTTCGTCACATAATTTTGTAAATGGTTTTCTATCAGGGAATAATCTCATGTTGCTTTGATCTAAAGTTCATATAGAAATTCACAAAGAGTTCAGCAATGCATAAGATATATTCAAAATGAATTTATTTTATATCCAGAATATATTACGGTGATGTATAAAAAAATACCAATGGCACATTGTCTTGTAAGAGGGAAAAAAATAAACCGAGATTTCACTCGTATTAATCTTTGGAGGATTGATTCAGTTCTCCGATCAACTGATTACTTCGATAAAAGGTACCGAAGGCTCCGGAAAGAATCCTAAGGTGATAGTGGAATTTAAACTCAAGAGACCACATATTTGGTCAGCCACTTCATTGCACTTACAAAAAAACCTCACAAAATTCCTCGGAAAATTCTGATTTTGATGAAACTTTGCACACATGTAAGAGGGATCAATAGATGAATATTGACATATTCCGTTGCGGCCCAAAACCGATTTTAAGGGGTTAAAATCATCCCTTACATATATGTATACCGTCTTTTCACATTTTTCAATTTATCTCGAAAAATATCAAAGATATCAAAAAAAGTTTCATACAAAAGTTTCATTTAAAAAAGTCTTCTATTTTACCGTATTAATAAATGTTTTTAAAAAATAAAAATTTTTAAAACATTTATTAATATGGTTAAATAAAAAACTTTTTAAAATAAAACTTTTGTGTGTAAAACATTTTTTGATATCTCCAATACCTTTCGAGATAAATTGAAAAAAGTGAAAAGTCGGTATATATATATGTATATATATATATATATATATATAAGAGGTGATTTCATCCCTTAAAACCGTTTTTGTCCTCACCAGATGTCCGCGCCTCGGCTTCTCCTGGCGCCTCCGACCCTAGGGAGCGGCGCTGTAAACCCTGAGGTGTTGAGTTGTCTGAACACACCCAAAGTATACTCGGATAAGAAATCGGAACATAAGGCTGAATTCTCATGCAGACACCGGCGCTTTGACACCGAGCGTTGACTGGTGAAAAGCGGATGGTGAGGGTAAATGGCAGCTCTAATTTACCCTCACCACCTGCTTTTCACCAATCAACGTTCGGTGTCAAAGCGCCGTGTCTGCATGAGAATCCAGCCTAAGATCTGTTCTTTTTTCATACTTGGCTGCACTAGTTCACTAGGGCTGCGGTCCGTTTCACGCTTAAGCGCACATTTATCTATAGTATACGTGACATATACTATAGATAAATGCGAGATTAAGCGTGAAACGGACTGCAGCCTAGTCTATCTTTTTTTATCTATATTAAAAGGAAAAGTATGGAAAAAGAACAGACCTATAGTCTCGTTTGGTATTGCGGGGGTACGTTCCCAAATCCTAATCTTTAGGAATCAAAACTACAGTACATGTCACGTGAAATATAGCATTTTAGTAACTCAGTTAAGATTTTGGAACGTAGAACCATGTATTTGATGTATAAAACAATTAAAAGGAAACAAAGTTGAGCGAATGTGCAGAGTTATTAATAATTTGTGGTGCATATATTAATATCAAAGAAGTGTAAACATATTGTTTTCGTACAAGTGAACTATTTTAAGTGTTGGACGTTTTATTCGTATATACATTAGTGAACAATTGACGCAATATATATCATCAATATATCAAATCTTTCAATGCACTGTTGATACCATGGGGTTTGAAGGTAAAAAATTAATGATTAATTAAGAAAATATTGTTTTTTTTTTTTCTATTTGGTTATTCGTTAAATAATATTGTGTCTCTATATTTTCTAATACATTGTTTTTCTATTTTCAAGATGAAAGAAGTGATTCAGAAGAAGAACACGATAAGTCCAGAAGCGCATCTCCAGATGCACAAAGATCAGACAGTGATGTAGCAGAAAGCAAGTCAAAATCTAATTCTGCCAGTCCTAAATCTTCACCTGCCAGGTTAGATACACACATCAAACATATAATACATATGTACATATATATATATATATATGTATAGAGTGCACTATATTGTACGGTTCCAAGGGAAGTATTTCTCAGAAATTTCTCCTCCAGCTGTATCTACTACTGCGCGTCATTCTTCTTCAATCTTATGCTGCTGACAGAGATCAAAGGAGAACGGCATGGTAGTAGGAACAGCCAGAAGAGAAATTTCTGAACAAAGACTTCCCTTGGAGCCGCACAATATGGTATACTCTTCTGTACATACATACATATAAGATAGTTGAATTATATAACATTTCTAAATTTAACTATATACATTCTTCAAAGTTACTTATATTAAAACATTAAAATTTACAATACTTTCCAATTAGTGACATAAGTCTACACATAGGAGTCTTTCTGTCCTTGTTCAATATTCAATGAAAAACAGACAGAGTGATCCTTGTGTCAACTTGTTGCTAAAATTGGAAGGCATCAAAATTTAATAGATTTACATACGATGCCAAGTATGCCAAATGTATGTTGTGATTTAGTTTTGTTAAAACTGAATTTTCTAAAATCATTTATTTTTTTACTCATTTAAATGTTTTAGGTCCAATTTGTCATCTCCTATACGAGATAGATCGCCAGCTTCTGTTCATTCCAATGTGAGCTCTAGAAAATCTTATTCTAAATCACGATCTGGATCGCCATCGCCAAGCAGATCTGGTTTGCTATCAAATATCAGAAAAAGTGCATCAAGATCACGTTCTAAATCCCGTTCTCCAGAGCCCGTGGAGATAAGTGAAAGAAATGCTTCTCAATCGCCAACTCATTCGCATCGTTCTGCAAAATCAGGCTCAAGATCCCGAACTTCCTCTCGAGCATCGTCCAGAAGTTCTCGAGCAGGATCTAGGAATAACTCGCGTTCTAGATCTAGATCTACTTCGGCAAAACCAAGTCCGTCTAAATCTGTTTCACCAAAAGCAAATTTTCGATCATTGTCTAGATCTCCTTCTCCTCAAGATAATCCTAAATCGCGATCTCCTTCAAGATCGCGTTCTCGTTCTGGCTCCCCGAAAGCATCTGTTCATTCACGTTCCCGATCAAGCACTCCTAAGTCTTTCCACACAAGATCTAGATCTAGATCAAGATCGGGATCAGCTAGTTTAAAAGAAGTTAAAGCTGACTCGAGATCGAGATCAAGATCTCCATCTGGATCGAAGAAAGGTTCTCGTTCACTATCAGCATCGCCAACTCGATCTCCAGTAACTACTAGACAATCACGTTCAAGATCAAAGTCACGCTCAGTAAACGGTTCCAGAGAAGGTTCCCCGAATTTAAAAAAAAAATCGCGTTCTAGATCCCGTTCCAGATCTCGTTCCAATTCGGCGAATAGACAGTCGAGGTCAAGATCTAAGTCAAGGTCAAGATCTGTTTCTGGATCTAGAAAACATTCTAGATCGCGTTCTAAATCCAGATCTTTATCGGGTTCGAGAAAAGATTCACGTTCAAGGTCGCGATCGGGATCGCACAAATCCGGATCAAGATGTCGATCGAGATCGATGTCGGGATCACGTAAAGGTTCTGTATCGCCGACACATTCGGAAAGAAATTCAAGATCCATATCCAGAGGAAGTTCGCGAGCTTCCAGCAAATCTAAATCAAGATCCCGTTCTGGATCAAGAGCTTCGCGTTCAAGGTCGCGTTCGCGGTCGCGTTCACAATCCGGATCCAGAAAATCAAGATCGAGATCAAAATCAAGATCGAGATCAAAATCAAGATCGAGATCTCGTTCAAGATCACACTCAGGCTCGAGATCGCGCTCAAGATCAAAGTCAAGATCAAAATCAAGATCTAGGTCACGGTCGAAGTCACGTTCCAAATCGCGTTCGAGATCACGATCCGGTTCGGGAGTCAGACATTCGTCCCGTTCCAAGTCCCGATCTAGATCTCGATCCAAGTCCAGATCCAGATCCAGACAATCAAGAAGTCCTAGCAGAGATTCGGATGGGAAAATCAAAAAACGAAACAAAGTGTTGTCGGATTCTGAAGACGAGACGGTTGAAAATAAAGCGAAGAAACGAGCAAAACACGATATATCAGATTCCGAGCACGAGGACGAAGAGAAGAAGAAAAAAGATGATAATGCACAGGAAGAGGAAGAGAAACAAGAAGGCGTTAATGAGCAACAGGACAATGAGGATTCTGACGACGGCATAGTCACCGGTGGCGGAATGTAAGTAATTATTTATTTACAAACTAGAATTAATTACTAATATATACTATATTATAATATATGCTATCCAGGAGCAACAGATATTTGTAAGTAATAAAACGTCTGCGTAGAAAAAAAGAAAAGAAAAACTTTCTATCTGAAAAATTTATAGAAAATATTCACATAGACAATATATCTGTCTAATTTTATACGTAGAAAAAAAATTATACATAAATAATGCTCATTTTTTAAAATGAATATTTTCAGGGACGATTCGATGTCCGATTTTGATCGCATGTTGGCGCGAAAGAAAGAAGAACAATCACGTCGACGCAAACGAAAGGACATCGATATTATTAACGATAACGACGATATTATAGCACAGTTGTTATCGGACATGAAAAATGCGGCCGAGGAAGATAGAAAGTTGAATCAGGAAAACAAACCCGCAACAAACAAAATCGCCATGTTGTCCAAAGTGTTGTCGCAATTAAAGAAGCACGATTTACAACTTGCCTTTTTGGAACATAACGTGCTGTCGGTTCTTACCGATTGGTTGGCGCCTATGCCCGATCGTTCGTTGCCATCTCTCAAGATTAGAGACAATCTTTTAAAACTATTGTGGGAGGCAAGATTATATTTGAGAAATTTTTTCTATCGCGCTGATAAAAATTTATACGTTATTGATTTTATACAAGTTGTGTTTTTTTTTTTATTTGCAGTTTCCGAGGATTGATCAGGCATCGTTAAAACAATCCGGTATTGGGAAAGCCGTGATGTATCTTTATAAACATCCGAAAGAAACGAAAGAGAACAAAGAGCGCGCTGGAAAATTGATCAATGAGTGGGCTCGGCCGATTTTTAATTTATCAGCCGATTTTAAAGCTCTGTCGAAGGAAGAGAGAATGCAAAGAGATTTGGAGCAAACGCCTCAGAAGAGAAGGAAGACCGAGGACGGAGGATCTTTTCAAAAATCACAGGATATTAATAAGGCCTTGAAAGGAGACGCCAAGTAATATAATTAATAAAATTTATAATAGATTTTTGATTAACCCTTCAGTGACAGACATAAAAAATGACCTGCGAGTTGTTCAGACTGAATCCGGGAGATCCATGCGATTTTTAAGTTCGAATATATCTCCGTAAAAAATCAATATTTTTTCAATTTCTCTCTTTTTTTTTTTTAATTGAAACGTTAAACGATTTTGCGTCGATAAAAAAAAAACAGATTAAAAACTTCTTTTAGTAGTTTTAAAAAAAAAAACGTTTGAAACGTTTTCTGCGCGTCCCATTGTCTAATAAATTGTTATAAATTTACATACATTTTGATAGAATTATGAACAAACAATTTTTTTTAATATGTTAGAAGTGCGCAAACTGAAAAAAATTACTTACTTTTCGAAATACCAACGTCTTGTTCCAGACTTGGGTCTCTCAGATTCTTTTTGCGCTTCAAAATTCAAACTTCGCAAAGCTATTAAACAAAAGACGCTGTCAACAACTTCTACCATTGTCTAAGGCCTTGAAGTTTTCTTTTTTGGTCTTCATATATGTCGCGCTAAATTAATAGCAGAGACACCAGTTTAAAACTTTTGGATGAGTCTCGGAAATCCATATCTGGCACTAAAGAGTTGATACTGGATTGTTATTCTAAAAGGATTAATATTCTAAATTTTGTATTATATTTCTAGACCTTTAAGGCCAGGAGATCCTGGATGGGTGGGAAGAGCCAGAGTCCCTAGACCGTCTAATAAAGATTATGTTATACGACCTGACTGGAAATCAGACATTGACATCAGTCGGGTAAGTGCTTTTTTTTTTATTTTAGGACTCGATTCGACCAGACAATAATCAGCGTTTATTTGCAATATTTTAAAATATTGCACAGAATCGCGGGATAGGCGCGGGGATCGGAGGGCTTGTTGGCGAGCAACCGCTCCGCTTGCTCTCCGATCCCTCCGCGCCTATTCCGCGATTCAACGACGCGCTGTGTACCATAAAAAGTATCGGTACCGCAAAAAAATCTCGAAAACTAGGCGCATTTTACAAAAAAAGTGTTTCAGATTAAAGTTGTTTAGAATTTTTAAGAATCTATTTACTAGTTTTATATTAGTTTGACCTTGAATGATATCGCCAAGGTCGGGACAAGGTTATTTTGAATTTTTTTTTAAATAAAACACTATTTTTTATCGCAGATTCTTAAGTTAGCTTAATTTAAGAGCTTTCCAAAACAATAAAGTTTTATTTTTATTAAGTAATTTTTGACTTATGACTATTGAATGTTGGAGTATCGCCGGTACCAGCATTGTTTAGTGACGTTGTCGTTCATTTTGAATGTTGCTTTAGTCAAAAAAAAAAAAACTATGTTGAAGAGGAAGTCAGGTTCTTTGTCAATTCTCTGCATCGTGAGCTCACAAAATTCGTTTTGAGAATCGAAATCATCTTTGTAGACAAAATACCGGCGGTACTCTGATATTCAACCTTCATGACTCAAAAAGCACTTAATGAAGATAAACTTTATTACAGTGTGTTGGGGAGAGCTCTTGAATTAAGCTATGAGAATCTGCAATGAAAAATAGAGTTCCGTTTAAAAAAAATTAATGTAACCTTGACCTTGGCAGCGCCGTTTAAAGTCACACTGATACAATCAGTAAATAGATCCTTTTAAACTCTACAACTTTTATCTGAAGCACTTTTTCGTAAACTGCTTAGTTTTTTAGATTTTTCTCGCGATATCGGTACTTTTTATACATCCTATATATACATATATGCAAAATAAATAAGTAAACAAATAAAGTATCTATATATGTATATGTCCTATATATACATATATATATATGTATATATCACACACACACACACACACACACACACACACACACACACACACACACACACACACACACACACACACACACACACACACACACAC